ATGTATATATATATATATATATATATATATATATATATATATATATATATATATATATATATATATATATATATATATGTATGTATATATATATATATATATATATATATATATATATATATATATATATATATATATAATATATATGTGTGTGTGTGTGTGTGTGTGTGTGTGTTTATTATTATTATTATTATTATTATTATTATTATTATTATTATTATTATTATTATTATTATTATTATTAATTGTGGCGTCATCTCGGGCAGGTCTTCTGATGTGGTTGGACCCTTACTGACCTCACTGGCACAGACTGCTGCTAAATATGAAGGAAGATGGGAGAAGAGTAGGCTCTTGTAGACCACCTGTACTCTAGGACACCACCTGGGGACCACCTGTACCCCTGGACACCACATGTACTCCAGGACACCACATGCACCACAGGGCACCATATGTACCCCAGGACACCACATGTACCCCAGGACACCACATGTACCCCAGGACACTACATGTACCCCAGGACACCGCATGTACCCCAGGACGCCACATGTACCCCAGGACGCCACATGTACCCCAGGATACCACATGTACCCCAGGACACCACATGTACCCCAGGACACCATATGTATCCCAGGACACCACCTGTACCCGAGGACACCACCTGTACCCGAGGTACATGTACCCCAGGACACCACATGTATCCCAGAACACCACATGTACCCCAGGATACCACATGTATCCCAGGACACCACATGTACCCCAGGACACCATATGTACCCCAGGACACCACCCGTACCCGAGGACACCACCTGTACCCGAGGACACCATCTGTACCCGAGGGCACCACCTGTACCCGAGGGCACCACCTGTACCCCAGGACACCACCTGTACCCCAGGACACCACCAGTACCCGAAGACACCACCAGTACACGAGGACACCATCTGTACCCGAGGACGCCACCTGTACCCGAGAACACCACCTGTACCCCAAGGACACCACCTGTACCCCAGGACACCACCTGTACTCGAGGACACTACCTGTACCCCAAGGACACCACCTGTACCCCAGGACACCACCCATACTCTAGGACACCACCTGGGAACTTTCTTATAAGAATCATATAATTGTTATTATTATTATTATTATTATTATTATTATTATTATTATTATTATTATTATTATTATTATTATTATTATTATTATTATTATTATTATACGTATTTAAGGGAACCGTTGAATCAGTAGGGGTCATACAGGACCAGTTAAAGAGAGGTAAGAGGGTTTGGTCCAAGCTGATAATAGCTCCAGTTTATTGGATTAAGAACCCATCGGCAACAAAGTCTCTTTAAAGATTTGTAAATAAAATTGTAAAATATATGTAAAATATCTGTAAATTAATAAATTTTACCATAGAATGTCTGTATAATTTTCATAATAATATTATTATTATTATTATTTTCATTATTATTATGATTCTTCTTGATCGACACCATGCCTAACCCTTCTAGGGTAGGGTAGGTACCATGCCCAGCCCTTCTAGGGTAGGGTAGGTACCATGCCCAGCCTTTCTAGGGTAGGGTAGGTACCTGAGCCGGAGCTTGTAGCTCACAAGACTGTTATTCCCATTAGCTCCCTTGGGGCGGTGATGGCAGACCAGAGAGGCCTAGCTTGTGGCTAGGCCTGGGGACAATTGGTCCCAAAGATGAGGAGGTATTTGTACCTCCTCCCATGAGAGACTTAGGTCTCAGACACTCCCTAAAGAGGGAGTCAAGGCCGGGCCACCACTTGGACAAGGCCCGGGCCGGGAGAATACCGGCGAATCTTTAATAATAATGATTCTTCTTCATCTTTATTATTATTAATTATTATTAATAATAATTATTATTATTATTAATTATTATTAATAATTATTATTATTAATTATTATTATTATTACTATTATTATTATTATTATTTTTATTAAATATTATTGTTATAGTAAGGCACTAAATCCTTATGGGTCATTCTGTGACTGATTATCTTCCAGTTTCCATTCACTGTATATGATTCCTACGAGCTACACGCATATCCATCAATATAATAATAATAATAATAATAATAATAATAATAATAATAATAATAATAATAATAATAATAATAATAATAATAATAATAATACAGATTCTGCTTACTTTACCAGTACCTGCCTAATTTGGGGTCTATCAAAATATTCAAGCCTAACGAGTTCTTTCTAACCAATCTTACCTAACCACTTCTTCCTAACCAGTCTTACCTGGCTAGACAGTCTTACCTGGCTAGACAGTCTTACCTGGCTAGACAGTCTTACCTGGCTAGACAGTCTTACCTGGCTAGACAGTCTTACCTGGCTAGACAGTCTTACCTGGCTAGACAGTCTTACCTGACTAGACAGTCTTACCTGGCTAGGCAGTCTTACCTGGCTAGACAGTCTTACCTGGCTAGAGAGTCTTACCTGGCTAGACAGTCTTACCTGACTAGACAGTCTTACCTGGCTAGGCAGTCTTACCTGGCTAGACAGTCTTACCTGGCTAGAGAGTCTTACCTGGATAGACAGTATTACCTGGCTAGACAGTCTTACCTGGCTAGACAGTATTACCTGGCTAGACAGTCTTACCTGGCTAGACAGTCTTACCTGGCTAGACAGTCTTACCTGGCTAGGCAGTCTTACCTGGCTAGACAGTCTTACCTGGCTAGAGAGTCTTACCTGGCTAGACAGTATTACCTGGCTAGACAGTCTTACCTGGCTAGACAGTATTACCTGGCTAGACAGCGTTACTTAGCCACCACTCATATCTTAACAAGAATAGCCGACTAAAAATATCACTAATTTATGCTGTGCCTCACCACGTTTCTTTACCACAGCAACGGACCGTTGCTGGCCGAGCACAGGATGCCAGAGTGTTCCTGGTGGCGCTCCACTCATGTACACACACACACACACACACACACACACACACACACACACACACACACACACACACACACACACACACACACACACACACACACAGATTACAAGAGCGTTAAAGAGAAAGGGTTCAGCAAGGAGTACTGCACTAGACGTAATACACACAAGCTACTCTTCAAGCTAGATATTGCGAAGGGAAAGAATTGGAACCAGACAATATCTCTCTCTGAAAGATGTCGCAAAAGTAGTAAGTCGATAGGTAGCTAGGTGGTGATAAAAGGAATTAAATACCGACACGATGGAAAAATAAACACAAATGCAATATAATGTAAAACTTTATTGACTACGTTTCGTCCATACAGTGGGCTTTATCAACTCACAAACAGATCCGTTTGTGGACGAAACGTTATCAATAAATGATCACATTATACTTCACTTGTGTTTATTTTTTCAACTACCGAAGGTGTGGCAGACAGTGAAGGTGGTGCCAGTAATCCAAACCAATCCCGGCCGGGGGTATGGTTTATTTGCAATCGTGTCATTACGATTTCTTAAGTCAAGTCGTGCCAGTAATTAAGTCAGACGGACAGGTATAATTAATCTACAGGTCAGTGTTATTAACATGCATACTACTTGAGGTAATGAAGGCAATCAGAAGTGTATTGGAATACGGTCTTAAAGAAAATAAATGTTGTCTCACAAATCTGGTTGAATTCTATGACAAGGAAGCAGAACTGAGGTAAGAGAGACGGACTGGGACCGTGCATTCTCGAACTGTCTGAAGGAATTTAATACAGTACCTCATAAGGAACAGGCAAGAATAATAGGAAAAACATTACAATGCATTAAAGAATACCTAACAATAAGAAAAGAAATAGTGATTACCCCGAAAAATGCATCAGAAAGGGCAAGTGTAACAAGCGGGGCACAACATGGATCAGTGTTGTTTCTGGTTCATGTGAACGACGTGCAGAAAAATTGTCTGACGTATCAGTGTTCACAGATGATGAGGAAATAATGAAGAAATTAGAGAACAGGAAAAGACATGGAAAGGTTAAACACGATCCTACATAAGCTGCAGGATTGGTCTGACAAGTGCTTATTGGAATTCCACCCAGCAAGTGCAAAGTAATGAAAACTGGGCCAGGACAAAGGATACCAGAAACGGAGTACAAGGTCAGGGCGGCTTCTGGGTGAGCATGATACCGAGCATATCACCTGTGGTCTACATCAACCGAATAAACTCTGCAGCATTTGTACATTTTGCAAATTTAAGAATAGGTTGTAGGACTCTCAACAAAGAGTCCTTCACGACACTATATACGACATATGTCAGGATCATATATGAATACGCAGCATCAGTATGGAACCCAAACATGATCAAGCATGCCAAAAAATTGAAGAAATTGTAGGGGTTAGTAGCGAGACTAGTCCCAGAGTAGAAGTTACGAGCTGAGAGGTGAGACTAAAGGAACAAACTCTGATGTCAATAAAGGATGTAAGGACCAGGAGCCCAGCACAGATCAGATACATAAATGAGTTTCCAGCACAGGGTCTACCTGGAGGGTATTCCGGGGATCAACGGCCCCGCGGCCCGATCCATGACCAGGCCTCCTGGTGGATCAGGGCCTGATCAACTAGGCTGTTTCTGCTGGCCGCATGTAGTCCAACGTACGAACCACAGCCCGGTTGATCCGGCACTGACCTTAGGTATCTGTCCAACTTCCTCTTGAAGACAACCAGGGGTCCATTGGTAATTCCAGTTATGGCCAGAGGGAGGCTGTTGAACAGTCTTGGGCCCTGGACACTTACTGCGTTTTCTCTTAGTGTACTAATGGTGCCCTTGCTTTTCACTGGGGGAATGTTGCATCGCCTACCAAGCCTTTTGCTATCGTAGGGAGTCATTTCTGTGTGCAGATTAGGGACAAATCCCTCCAGGATCTTCCAGGTGTAGATTAAGATGTATCTCTCTCGCCTGCGCTCCAATGAGTACAAGTCAAATGCTTTCAAGCGTTCCCAGTAATTAAGGTGTTTGATGGAACTTATATGTGCAGTAAAGGTTCTCTGTACATTCTGTAGATCTACAATTTCACCTGCCTTGAATGGAGATGTTAATGTACAGTAGTACATGCAGGCACATGTATCAGTAGACAACAGTACAGCAGATACAGTTTTCAGCACAGGTTGTACACATATATCAGTATCCAGCACAGGGTGGACACATACATCAGTATCCAGCACAGGGTGGACACATACATCAGTATCCAGCACATGCTGGACACATATATCAGTATCCAGCACAGGGTGGACACATACATCAGTATCCAGCACAGGGTGGACACATACATCAGTATCCAGCACAGGGTGGACACATACATCAGTATCCAGCACAGCCTGGACACATACATCAGTATCCAGCACAGGGTGGACACATACATCAGTATCCAGCACAGGGTGGACACATACATCAGTATCCAGCACAGGGTGGACACATACATCAGTATCCAGCACAGGGTGGACACATACATCAGTATCCAGCACAGGCTGGACACATACATCAGTATCCAGCACAGATTGGACACATACATCAGTATC